TCGGACTCACCAACGCGCCGGCAACGTTCCAAGCCGAAATGAACCACATTCTACGACCACTTCTGGACGAATGCGTGGTGGTGTACCTGGACGACATACTCATCTACTCGCGCGACATGAAGCAGCACGTCGAACACGTGCGACGCGTCTTCGAAATTCTTCGACGAGAACGATTCTACGTCAAACTGTCCAAGAGCGAATTCGCCCTGGAGAAAGTCCAATTTCTAGGACACTTGGTGAGCGCTCAAGGAGTTCACGTCGACCCCAAGAAAGTCGAAGCCGTACGTACGTGGAAGACACCCGAGAACGTGAAGGAGTTGCAGCAGTTCCTAGGCTTCACTAATTACTACAACAGGTTCGTGCCACAGTATGCGAAACTCGCAGCACCACTCACGAATCTGCTGAAGAAGAACACGCCCTACAAATGGGAGACGAAGCACCAGGAAGCCGTGGAGCAGCTGAAACAAGCACTAACATCCGCACCGGTGCTCATCTTGCCAGATCCCGAACGTGACTACGTGATCGAAGCTGACGCCAGCGACCAGGCAGTGGGAGCAGTCTTAATGCAAGACCAGGGGAACGGACTGCAACCAATTGCCTACCTCAGCAAGAAACTGCACGGGGCAGAACTCAACTACCCGATACACGACAAAGAGGCTCTTGCTATCATCATCGCCTTCAAAGCGTGGAGATGCTATCTCGAAGGACGAAGAACAACCGTCTACACCGACCACTGCAGCCTGAAATATTTGAACACACAACCCAACCTTTCCAGGCGGCAGGTCCGGTGGATCGACTTCCTCGAGACACACTTCCACTACGACATCGTGTACAAGCCCGGCCACAAGAACAAAGCAGACGCGCTCAGCCGGCCTGCACACGTTGCCGCGATTCAGGTCGAAGGGATGAATCCACTACTCAAGGGACTCTTCACACACGGATACGCCATCGACCCCGAAATTTCCTTGGCAGAAAAGCGACATCTGCTACAGTGGGACAGTGACATCGCGTACCGGAAAGGATCAACAAAAATCTGGGTACCCAATTACCCTCCTTTGCGCCAGTTACTACTCGAAGAATACCACGACGTCCTGTACGCCGGACACTTCGGTAGCAACAAGACGCTCACCGGTATCGCCAAACACTACTACTGGCCCCATATGGCAGACGACATCCAGAAATTCGTCACCTCGTGTGATACATGTCAGCGGATGAAGAGCAGCAAGCAGAAAAAGGCGGGACTACTGCAGCCTCTTCCTGTCCCAGAACAACCATGGCAAGTGGTTAGCCTAGACTTCATCACCGGGTTACCACCTACCTCCAGCGGTCATGACGCCATCCTTGTCGTCATTGACAAGTTCTCCAAAATGGGACACTTCATCCCGACGCACACGACGGCACGCACCGAGGAGACAGCACAACTCTTCGTTCGTCACATCATCTCACAGCATGGCATCCCAACTACACTCATCTCCGACCGAGACCCCAAATTCACTAGCAAGTTCTGGAAGGAACTTATGTCTCTGCTCGGCACCAAACTCGCCATGTCATCCGCATACCATCCGCAGACAGACGGACAGACCGAGCGCCTCAACCAAATTGTTGAGCAACTCCTCCGCGCAGCCTGCAAGGACGACATCTCCAAATGGGACTTGCACCTACCCGTCCTGGAGTTTGCCTACAACAACGCTACACACGCCGCTACGGGACAGACGCCGTTCTTCCTCTGCTACGGACGCCACCCACTCACACCACAGAAACCGACAACACCAGCAACAGTCCAACCTGCACACGACTTCATCACAACCATGCATCAGCTTTGGGATCGGACCCATAAGCGCCTCCTTGACATTCAACAGCAACAGAAGCGCCAGGCCGATCGCCATCGCAACGACCACACCATTTCCGTGGGAGACCAGGTTCTCCTTGACACCCGCAACCTGGACATCAGCCATCTCCCATCTAAACTTCGACCTCGCTTCTGCGGGCCTTTCCTCGTTGAAGCACAGGTCACTCCTGTTACCTTCCGCTTACGCCTGCCAGCTACCTGGAAGATTCACAACGCCTTCCACGTCCAACTTCTGAAGCCCTATCGGGACCCGAACACAATTTTCGTCGGACGCCAACCGCCGCCGCCACCGCCCGTCCTCGTCCAGAATGAACCCGAGTACGAGGTCGAGTCCGTGCTCGCACACCGCCGTCGTCGGAATGGCACCGTGGAGCTTCTTATCCGTTGGAAGGGTTATGATCCTTCTGAGGACAGCTGGGTACCTGAGTCCGACATGGGTAACGCCCGTCGTCCTCTGCATGACTACCTTGTCAAGCAGGGTGTTACTTCTACCAGCCAGCTTTGAGGGGGGGAAGTGTGAGAGTACGACCCCGTTACAGCACTTGGCCTTTTCTTATTTCCTTCCCTTTTCATTTCTCTTTTTACCGCATCTCATTTGGTTTCCTCTTCTTCCTTTTCCATTATCCTTTGGTCTCTTCCTTTATTATAATTATATCACCGACCAGGCATGGAATGTACTAGAGATGTTATCCAGCGTAATCCTGCCGTAATCCCTTAAAGCCAATAGCCTCACGTGGCTATACGCAGGGTGATTCTATCTTCTAGAAGGGTCTATTCCCTTAGGATAAGATAAACCTGGTTACCTGATGTACTCTGGAAGTATAAAAGCGCCTTGTACTGATCGATAGTGCAACCTTTCCTCGACACATTCGATCCTGTGACACTCCCCCTCCCACCGCTCGAGCTGGAAGTACAGCTGCTTGAACCTGGGATCCAAAAATGTCGCCACTGCCAGCTCCATACTGATGCCGTACACATACTTCTTCAGTACCTTTAGAGCTGCCTCCGACAACAGCTTGCACAGCTCCCCAGTACTGGGGTCGTGGTAGAGACGCTCAAGCTCGTCCATGAGCAGGTTGTACTGCGGCACCACTGCTGCGGCAGTGGGGTACAACGACCCCTCTGCCTCAGTAGTGATGTCATGGAAGGGCTTGAGGAATTCCACCGGAACCCTCAGAGCGTCCCAGTGCGCGTCTGCGAGGCGGACACGTGCAGCCTGTTCGCGCGTCCGCTTGTCGCGCGCTGACTGTGGAATGGGGGATTTCGAGGAACACAACGTAGCGGAGGGGGGAAAATAATTTTTGGGAATCGGGAATCCTGAAAATTACCCGGCGGGTAGGGTCCGGGTTACCCGGGCGGGTATTCAATACCCGCTACCCGAAATGATTCCCGACACGTCGGGTAGCGGGTACCCAACCCGAAATCGGGTAGCGCGTCTACCCGACAGAACCAGCACGACATTGATCGCGCTGGTAGAGAAATTTCAGCAAGTTTTTAGGTTACGTAGCTGCTAGGTCACGTAAAGCATTGTAAGGTAGACATGGGCACAAGCTGAGCCACACCTGGCTCGGCTCGGCTCGGCTCGCCTTAGAAACGAGCCAAGGCTCTTTTTTTTGTACCCGGCTCGACTCGAGCCGAGCCAGCTCGGCTCGACCTGAGCCGGCGGCTCGGCTCGGCTCGCGCACGCGAAATCAGGTGAGCCGGAGTCGAGCCGGCTCGAGCTGGCTCGTTTTCGAGACAGCCAGCTCGCGGCTAGGGAAAGGGGGGCTTCGCGACTGTCAAATTCCAGATCGACAAACCCCCCCGCACCCATTTTGTCTGCCAACCCTAACCTCACCCTGCCATCCTAGTCTATCGATCTCAGACAGCCCTATTTAAACCTGCAGCTCCTCCTGATAGTTGTGTAAGATGTAGAACCAGACGATCACCTGAACAATCTGGATAATCCCCCAGACTAGAGACCCCAAACCCCATGGCCCCAATTAACAGCCCACACAAGCCCCCCTGACGAGCCGAGCCGGGGATCCTGAGGACCCGGCTCGAGGCGAGCCGAGCCAGGCTCGGCTCATGCCCATGTCTATTGTAGAGTGGCAGGGGTTGGATTTCGTAGATCCAGATGCATGCGGTTGAATTGGAGGAAATTGGTTGGAATTCCAACCAATCGAATTTCCCCAATCGAATTTGCAACCCAACCTGAATCCAACCAACCGCACAGCACCACATTGGTTGGACTTCCAACCAGTTGACTCTGGGGGTCAAAGAATCAAACCCCCAGAAACCGCACACAACCCCATCCCAACTAGAAAACCCAACCAACTCCCCACTCAGGCCCTACTCACGCCCCACTCACCACACCAGAGCTGTTAAAGATTTGGCGAACCTCATACTCCCTCCCGCAACTGACGTTTTTTAAGCACTATCTAGGTCGTAGGTTTAGTAGCCCAACAGGGTAGGAAAACGCGGGTAATACTGCCCGCTATTCAAGGAAACCGGGTCGGGTATACCCGGACCCGCCAGACGGGTATTAAATTACCCGCCCCCAAATCCCGGGTCCGGGTATTCGTCCTGAGCATGTTACCGGACCCGTACCCGACCCGAAAATACCCGACCCGAAGTCGGGTATAGCAAAACCGGGTCAGGTCGGGTAAATACCCGGTTTTGCTCATGCCTACATCAGTCCATGCAAGGAAGGTCGGAAAATAAATCGAACTAACAGAGAGTACCAAAATGTGTATGTGTTACATAAATCAGAACAGGTGATAAAATCGACTACATAAAAGTGCAGGAGTTACAACAAAGTGTTGAGCTAGCAAATCATAGGTGTTCGTCACAACCTAGTTAGTAGGCTTTCATGTTAGCAAGCTAGCACCCTGCTGATGGTAGTAGACGGAGTTACGATGTGGCAGATTAAGATACGTGAGTGGAAGTGGGAGGCTGGTGCTAGACCTGAGCAGAGGGTGGGCCAGTCACAGGCCGGGTGATGCACAAGTCGGCCCAAGAGCCAAAGTCCCGTCGCACGTAAAAATTGTTGATTGAACTGTATAAAGGGCGTGCATACCTCCAATCTGAAATCATGCCCATCTGCGCCGAGAACGGGCAAGCAAGGCGTGGCTGTGGCTCACATGTAAACCCAATGAGTAACGGCACTCACAAGCGATGAAGATTGGTGAGGTTGCCAATGGAGTCAGGAATTCCACCAGAAAACATAAGGTTGTCGTGCACAGATCTGATGAGAGAACGCGTGTGGCAAGAGGACTGGGATTATGCTGCACAAGTATGTAGCCATGCAATGTGCTGAAGGATAGCTAGACATGGGCATGAGCCGAGCCTGGCTCGGCTCGGCTCGTTTGGGGTCGAGCCAAGCCGGCTCGCCGGACGAGCCGGCTCGGCTCGCCTCGAGCCGGGTCCTCAGGATCCCCGGCTCGGCTCGTGGAAATGGGGTCGAGCCAGGGCTGGCTCGCCAGCGAGCCGGCTCGGCTCGGCTCGTCAGGGGGGCTTGTGTGGGCTCTCAATTGGAGCCACGGGGTTTGGGGTCTCTAGTAGAGGGGATAATCCAGATTGTTTAGCTGATCGTCTGGTTCTACGTCTTACAAAACTATCAGGAGGAGCTGCAGGTTTAAATAGGCCTGGCTGAGGTCGATAGACTAGGGCGACAGGGTGAGGTTAGGGTTGGCAGACAAAATGGGCGCGAGGGGGGTTTGTCGATCTGAAATTTGACAGTCGCGAAACCCCCTTTTCCCTAGCCGCGAGCCGGCTGGCTCGAAAACGAGCCAGCTCGAGCCGGCTCGACTCCGGCTCGCTGATTATGCGTGCGCGAGCCGAGCCGAGCCGCCGGCTCGGGTCGAGCCGAGCCGGCTCGGCTCGAGTCGAGCCGAGTACAAAAAAAAGAGGCTCGGCTCGTTTATACGGCGAGCCGAGCCGAGCCGAGCCAGGTGTGGCTCGGCTTGTGCCCATGTCCCTGGATAGCTGGGCACTTTCTGCAAACAACAAAATGACTTCTTTGACGCATGTCTGCTGGATGGATGATTTTGTGTTTTTCTTTGCCAATATAATCCGGGCCAGTAACCTAACCAAGGGCCTGGGCAGCAGAACAAGGTGCCAATTCAACCTGGTGGCTGAATTCAACGAGATTTTTCCCAGCACTTGGCAACAATTGTCGCTTCCCATCCCACGAGCGGAGAGAGGGTGAGAGGTGGAGGGAGTGAGGGAAAGGAGGTGAGGGATGGAGGGAGGAAGAGGGGACAAGTGAGCGAGGGGACGGAGGTTTCTATTGTTTCACGCATGCTCAAGGTTCACTCACATCTCTGTGATCATGCCTTGGGCGTCGCACATGACATTGCTCGCACTGCTGCAGTCCCCGCCGATCTTCCAGCCTTCAATCGTTGTGTTCCACGCCTTCTGACAGTCCACCAGGACTTGCGCTGGGGGCAGGAGAAGGGAATGGCAGGGATCGGAACAGCGAAAGAATATTAACCGTCTCTGATCTTAAAACGAACGGCACTGAAAACGGGAGGAGGGACAGACTTCATCATACTTCCACACCATCACCTCTCTCTCCCTCTATACTCTCTCTCTCCCACCTCTCCCACAACCTCGCCGCCTCTCACCCGCCATCAAATTCCTCGCCCCTCACCTATGCGAGCTTCCGTCTCCCCTCACCCAACAATTTCCGGCCCACCGCTAGTAGGATACTTTTTTTATCCCACTCTTGGCCCTTCCCTCACTCCGCCCTCCCCCACCCACTACTTCTCCGCCCTCGCCTTACAAGCTACGTCCCAAAAATGTGGCACTCGCCTATACTAGCTATAGCTGTTCCTATGCCTTGAAGGCTACGTTCCTGAAGTATCTACTGTACCTGCTGCTCCCGATTTTGTGGGACAGTATCCCCAACTCCGCCCTCCGCTCACTCACTCTTCCAGTTCGCCACCCCCCCTCCCCTCATCCCCATCTCCTCCCACCCCTCACCATTCTTGTCCCTCACCCCGCTACTTCATTCTCCGCCCTCTACTCCCGCTCCCCCATTCTCCGTGTCAGCAATACTGGAAGCGCCAAGAGGCATCGAGCACACACCCTGGGACCTGGCGAGGGGAACGCAGTCGACCCGTGAAACCGCGAGACACGTCAGAAGGAGCAGCGCGCCGAGCAGAAGGGTTGCGCGCTCCATCACGCCACGATGATGGTCGCGGCAAGCCGTCGCAATCTCCTGCTACTTCGAGTTTTGAGAGAAGGAAAAATAAAAAAGGAGAAAACGGCTGCTCAAGAAAGCAGCCGTGGCGACTTCCACAACTTTTAGCGTTTCCTGTAAGAGTGGCTCGCCGCTGCACCAACGTCGACACGCAGAAGGCGAAGCTCTGGGTGGAATAATGGGACAGATCAAAGGTGGCTAAGTTCTGAGTGACGGTGGAATGGAAAAGATTAAAGCGAGGATCTCAAAAACCCCCGAAGTCAAAAACTTAGGTTTTGATTTTCGGGCTGGGCGAAAGTGGCGAGCTCAGCGTAACGAAACCAAACCAGTGGATTGGTTGCGACTCTCGGAAAAAACCGCTGCCAAAACCGCCGAGGGTCGCACGGTTGAACTCGACGATAAACAAATCTTCCAAACCTCGGGCGTGTTTTTCGGGGCGGGAAATCCTGTAGAAAACTTGGAGACTCTCCAAAAATACTCGGGCAATATGTTCCTTGCGTAAGACTGATGCTAGAAACTTCGAAACTAGACACGGGGGAACAAGCCCTAATTAATCGCCCAGATCCTCCCCCAAACAAACACGCAGCAGGAGACAGGAGGGAATGACTAAAAAGTTGTGAATCGCAACTTGAATGTCTTTAGGAGCAGCGTATTCCTGTCCCCCTGTCCTAGCCCGTCCTCAATTCCTTTTGGAGGGAAAAAACCAGCGTATTCCTGTCGCCCATGTCCACAACTTTGACCCAAATGCCCTTGTCGCCTTGGTTTCTGCCAGCAGTTACAGTTGTTTACAAGGAAAAAAAAAACAAAAAAAAAACAAAACAAAAAACAACCATAGCGACCCGCATGCTAGTTCGGATACCATCGACCCTAAACTCACGAATTTTGTGACACTTTCGGGATGCCACCCCGAGCACCATGCTGGGCCCCTATGGGATTTTATTTTTTTTCCCCACTAGTAACATTTGCTCACGGCGAGGTCTATACCTAAAGTAAACAGACATGGCTCGTCGTTTCCTCCAGAAGGAATTGGAGTCGCGCTCGAGTAGGGGGGCGGGAATATGCTGCTCAGAAAAGAATTCAAGCTGCGATTCGCAACTTTCTATTCATTCCCTCAGGAGACAGCGACGCGTGGGTGGAAAATTCTGCGTCATCCCAAAAATAGGGTGTTTCAAAAGGTCCCATATAGCTACTTTGGCGTTTCCGTCGGCTCTTGGTTCGCGGTAAAGCCCAGATCCCAAATTAGTTCACGCAAGTCAACGCGCAGAATTTGAGCTGGGTGGGTGGAAAAAAACTATTGTGTTATTGAGTGCGAAAATAAGTGATTATGTTATTTCGCGTAGGAATCGTATGCAAGCTTGGCCTAGTTTGATTTGGGGTGAGTTCAAATTGGGCCAAACACGGATCTGACGGCTGAGACACAGGGACGCATGAAGTCCCAATTTGTAAGCACGCTTATAACCGTCGATTGGCAACCTAGCAAGAGCAGGGTTTGATGGGGGTTGGGTTTGGCAAGCCCGATCCAACGGCAGAAACTATACGAATCAAATTGGGCCCAGTTTGCAAACTTGATTTCCACCGTTGATATACCAGCCTCGACTTTGCCTCTCACTTTGGCAAAGGGGCAGTTGGCTCTTTTTTATGTTGGGTAGTTCGCGAGCGCGATCAGCGTCAAACTGGGCCCAGTTTGATGCCTACTTGACTAATTTGGGACTTGGGCTTTAACCAGATCCCAGGTTCGGTGAATGTCTCGTGGCAGCTGACACGGCTCATAATTCATGTTCTATCGCTCATCTAGGCCGTCCAGTCAGGGTGAACTGGGGCATTCGGATTGGGCCAGGCTGTATCCGGGTTCGAGTGCTAGCGCGGTGTTAAGAACATGCTGAATTCTGATACATGTCGTACGAAGAGCTAGACAGCGTGCAGTCCTGTCATTGGTATATACATTTGGCTACCGTTATAGTTACTCCGTAACTTCATGTGTACGCTGTACCCATTAAATAGTAATGGTGGTTAAAAATATTACATAGCAATTAGCATTTATTGCCAATTTGACCCTACCACCAGACTGCTCTGAGAGATGCAGTTAACAGGAACCTATAGCGTGGCCCCTACCATGTTCAAATATACATACCATAGTTTTTCCCCATTGGCATACTGATCCAAATGCCCGAGATGCCTCTTCAGAGGGTCATACAGTCCAACAAGGACCCCCTCCTTGTTGATAAACACACGATCAGTTGCACCATTGAACCTCCAGGCCCGCAGCTCCGGGTGATACTAGGGGCCATCTTCGTCAGACTTGTTCGCAATGGCGACGCTCACTGCATTGTGGACGTTCCAGTGGTAGACCGCAAGCAGGTCACAGTTATCCACCGAGCTGTGGGGCATGTCCTTGTTGTTCTTGATCTTGTACTGAACCTACAAATCAGCCCACAACATTTACAACTCAAGCTTGTGTCTTTTAGTCTTACAACGTAGCAGCAAAAATTTGTGGCATATCTTGCACGAACTAAATCTTAACTGGCAGCAATAAAACTTACGCCCTAAACCAGCCAAAAGGCAACGTGCCTAAAGCAAGAAGATATAATAATGACCCCCCTTTCTAGTTGGGCCCAGTTTGATAGGGGGTGTACAGTAGGCAAAACGAGCCCGGCGCACGAATGTCGGAATGGACTCCCTTTTCGCCCTTGGGCAGCTGACCGCCCATGGAGGTGTGGCAAAACAACGAAAAAACACAGTGGGCGACATGCTTAGAGCACCGAGCAACCCAGACGACTCATGTCAGCGGGCTGCAAGAATGCGCGCCAATCATAAACCCCTGCCATATGCCCCCAAAACAAAAACAACTCAAGAGTTCCGACTTGTCGTGAACCCATGTGAGGGACCTAGCATTACGAGTCTTCCAACAATAAAAAAACGAGCAGATACAGAGTCACCCCATCTTAAGCTGCTAGTGACGCCGTACCCATTCAACAGTGCATGCCCGTCCTTAGAGGCTTAAAATCAAGAGAAGCAGAAACGTACGCCGATCCGTCTCTACTATAAAAGTTGTCAGCTGCATCAGGAAACGTGGTAGCCACAAACACAGGATGTGCGGCCCAACCATAGGCTTCCCGGGCTCGACTTCTACCTCTTCGCACTAGCCATCGCATGCGGCACGCGCGAAAACGAGCTCGGCGCTACACTGTCCTATAACCAGGGTGACGTACGGCGCAAAGAAATGAGGTCCTCGCGAAAGACGCGGAAACTTGAGACCACGCGCCTCGCACCTCGAGCCACGCGCTGTGGGCTCGTTGCTGGCCACTGACTAAACCGAATCTTGAGATGGCGCGGGAGCTCCAGCCTCCCCACCCGCCAGCCAGTAAGCACATCCAGCGAAAGGAGGCCATGAGGAAAGGGAGGGGTGGATACGGCAAAAAGTGCGGGGGTAGGGGGGTTAAACTGAGAGGAGGATATTATAATTACAATAGGCTCATATGTGCTTAAAATGAGAGATAGAGTGCACAGACGGATTTCCGTTAGACAGATTCAAAGACTGATACCGATCTGATCTGTAAATAAAGCGATGATCTGTAAGTTTGATTACGAGGGCATTGCTGTCGCCTATTAGCAGCAAATTGAATCATGAAATTCCATGATGATTTGACGACAGTATGGCTGTTTGACTGGCAGGAGGTATAGCAGCC